GCCCGACGGGAGCCCCCCCTGGCGCCATCCCCCCCCAGGGGAGCTGGGCAGCCCTGTCCCCCCTCCCCCCGCGTCTCCGCGAGCCCATGGCCCAACACCTCCCCCCCAAGCAGATCACGAGCCTGCACAGGTCCCCAAGCGCAGCCCTAAACCCAGCAGGGCTGGAGGACCCGAGATGCCTCCTAGGCGGCCATGGAACCCCAAACACACACCTCCTCCCTGACCCAGGGGTGCGGGAGGCTGGACTGGCACAAAAGCCACCGCTGCTGTCACCACACTATGGGAGACAGTCCCGACCTCCAGGCGAGGCCCGGCCATTTCCACAGTGGCTGCGGGGTGTGACGCGTCCCGGGCACGGGGCGACCCCAGCTCCATCCTTGGCACCGTTGACTGTCTTGAAGGCTGATCGGGTCCTGGGGACACCTCGCCCGGTGAGGCAGAGGGGCTGGTCCAGGAAGGTCTTGGCCTCCAGCAGAGCAGTGGCAGCAGGTCCCCCAGCCTCCTCCTCGTTCCTCTCGGGGACCTCGTCGGGATGACCGTCGGGGGCTCCGTCGTGTGGAGCAAAGACGCCAGGTGGAGTAGGAAAGACCCTTTTATTGGGGTGGACACGGAGCACGCGCTAGTTCATGATAAAATGACTTAAGAGAAAGATCCGGAAGGGCCGCCGTCTCCCCCGCACGCGTGCACGCTCCGAGTGAGGCCTGGGCGTGGAAGAGTTCCCGGCGGGATGTGAGACAACGCCCCAAGTGTCAGAGGCCTGCCCGGTGGGTGGGAGGCAGGAAAAGGCCGCTCGGCTGTCCAGGCCGCTCTGGGCCTGGCCCCCACCCCTGCCGTCAGGTCGCTGCAAAGCCCCCGGCCCGAGACCCTCACAGCAAACTGGGTGGGGAAGATGGGGAGGAGGCTACTTCTGCGGGGGCAGGAGGGAGGGAAGGGGCAATGGTGATGGAATTTTTTTTTTTTAAAAGCATCTACCAACATCACACTATTGGGTCTGAAGTCCCCTTTAACCAACACTTGATACATGTTACAGCATAAATAAAAACTCAAGGAAAATAAATACATTGGCTCCTATGAGGTTGGAGGTGGTGTAGACGGCAGGGTACGGGTGGACTGGCAGGGTGCGGGTGGGCAGGGGTGCTTACACACGGCGGGCAGGCGGGCGGGTGCGCGATGGAGGAACAGACCGGACGGGAGGTGCCCGTGAGGGCGCGTGAGTCTTAAGTGTCCTCGTGCATGTCCGGGCTGTCGGTCCGCGCCACCTTGCGAGGGGGAGCTGAGCTTTCCCCTTCCAGTTCCACCTGCTCCTGGTCTCTCTTCTTGGCAGCGTTCTGGAAGGTGAGGAAAAGGGAGCTGTGATGAGCTCCTAAGGCCACAGGATGCTGGGAACCACAGGCCCTGTCCCACCACCAAGACTGGCCCTGCCCAGCGTACTCCCTGGGGCCCATGGCTGGTTACTTCCTCAAAACATCACCACTGGGGGGACCAGCCGTTAGCGTAATGGCTATGTCGCTGGATTCCCATGTCGTCAGCCGC